TGGCTAGGAGAAAAAGCTCATTTGAGGCAGCAGTATAACACTGTTTTTGTTACTATGGCATTATGTTTCCTTTTTATTATGGGTTTCTCAGGGTTTTGTCCTAGCAAAAGGTTTTGTTCTTGAGCAGTTTTAGTATAAATGTTCTGTCAGCATAGCATGGCAAAATTTTATAATTGTTAAGTCCACAAGCGATCACTGTTACATGACTTGCTGCAGAGGCTGTGGAAGCTTGGCAATTAGTTTCTGCCTTAAGCACAGCAGCAGAGGTTGAACTAGGTCCCCTCTCTTAATTTGGTGTTGGACTTGACTTCTCTAGCTCTGAACCCTTATTCTAGGCAAGGAAATGGACTCCTTCAAAGTATTCTGTGTTACTACAGCTAAGACAGTCCCCTTGTTTCTGCTGCACTTTCCCCTATTACTGTGTGCTGTGGTGTGCTCAACAAAAGTGTGTTTAACTGAAAATAGTAAGTTTTAAGTGCAAGCAGCCAAGGTGCATGCACATTTCATTGCACTGATTGCTTGACCAGTTAATCTCACGAAGAGTGGGATAATAGAAGTGAGGAAATTGGAAGGCATTTGGGAACACCATAATCTGTCATTTCTGTTTGCTAAATTGATCAGTATCATCCCCCAAATCTCTTAAGACAGGAATATCCCAAGAAACTAAAGGAAGTTACTCAGATGGTTTTAGACTTAGCAAGTGTGTGTGTTATTTGTCTGCACGTGGTTTTAGTCTGCAACAAATGTGAGACATGAAAATTTAGAGCTGCAGGCAGGCATGTGACAGGCAGATGTCTGGCTGTAGCTGAGCCAGAATGAGGTATTTGTGCTTTTGTAAAATCTGTCAGTGAGCATAGTCACTCCCTTGCCTACCTAAGACCTGAGTTTGGCATGGGTTATGTGGAGAGGAGAGGGTGAGTCGAGCTCATAGACAATCCTGTGGCTCAGCTGCTGCGTGTCAACTTGTTAGGCAGATGTAATTTAATTATGCACTTCTAATTTTGCATCTTACATTAATTATTATTATTAGGTAGGAGTTAGTGAAGAACTAACTGTTGGGGCTTGTACAAATCTCTCTTTTTAAACTATGATATTTTAAAAGTACAATATAAGTCCATGAATACTTCATCACCTGCTGTGTTGTGTGGGGAACATTGTTAATTCCCATACCCAATTGTTAGCAACATCTATGCTATTTCAGAGAAAAAAGATTTTCTGGATTGTAAACAACAATCATGAAAAATATCATCTGAGAAGAGTTCAAGAAAATTACACAACAATGGATGACTGTATGCTGAATGAGATCCTCAGAGAATGAGGGGAGTGTTGCGGACCCAAGTAGGGATGATAAAATAAACCAGCAGATCTGAAGAATTTTTGAAAAGGGGAAATACACAAATAATGTGATAAACTGGAAATGCTTTTGGAAAATTGGAAGCAAATGCATAGAGATAGGGCTGGCTATAATTCAAACCCCATACACTTAATATGAGGGAAATCCATAAGTTTGGCAAACCTGACAGATAGGGCAAAATAGCCAGGTAAGGAGGTGGTAGATCTCTTGCAGAAATATGATATAAATAATATTCTCTCTGCATGTGGAAGAATTGCACATCTGATTGCAGACTTTTATAAGAGAAGAAGTTATCTCCATATATACATATAGATTAGATACAGTTAGTTTCTAAATCCTTTTTATAATTTTCTTTAAATATGTCATTGTCATAGAGTGTCAAAAATAGCTGGGTATTGAAGGACAAGACATTACAATTAAGGGGGTAGGAAAGGAAATCAGGTCTTGTCTGTCATATCACATATTCAGCTGGTTCTTTTTATATCTTGGGTCTCAAACTGAAGTACAGTAAAAAACTGCAGAGTGGTATGTGGTTTGCACAGGATTTGGAATTATTATTTTTTTGTCCAAGAAGGCAAGAAAAGGGGGTCAGAGACCCCCAGCCATGTATTATGATCAGAACTGCCTAGAACAGAATGTTATTTAACAGTGATAATTTCTGAAATACTTTCTTGCTCCTGAAGACCAGCTTATCATATATGGCTTTCTTAAAATGTGGAGGGTGTGGTCATCTTTCTTTCATTGTTCTAATACTCAGCCTTTTGCTGGGAAACATCCAGATTACCATGGACATCAGTGTGATTTGGCAGATGAGTATCTGAATGGTTCTGCTCCAGGAATTATGAGAAAATTAATAGCATTAGGAAAAGGAGAAGGGGGGAGAAAGTAGTTTGGAAGTGTTTCAGGGTGCTGTAGCTGGTTGTGGGACTTCCTGAAATCCAGTCTTCTCATTTAGTATACAACCTTGATTTATTATATAAGCTTAAAACCACCATGTTTTCAAAACAAAAGCGTTTCGTAGGAAACTGCTCCAAAACCACTCCTCATATTGCCACAGCATCTCACAGAAATGGTGAGCATCAGGGCCCATGGGGGAAACTAAGTTTACTGCTCATTTTTCATGACACTGACATTCTGTTTTCATCCCAAGTAACTTTAAGCACTAAAATTAGGCCCCAGCTGCCTTTGGCTTCTGTTGAGCAGTAGTTTTCTGTGTCTTGTTTTGATGTAGTAAGTTTAAGCTTGCACTGCTGACAATACACTGCTTTTTTTAGTGATCTCTCATGATCCTTAGAAATAAGCCAAGGTCAGCAGATGAAAGGTATAAAACTGCTGGTCTGTGGTTAGTGGGGACAGAGAGGCTCCTTCAGAGGGTAGGCCAGCTCGGATTCGAGTTTGGGTCCAGAAGACGTCTTGCTCTTCAGAAATATCATAATTATAAAAATATTGATGGTTGTTTAGGGTGCATTGTATGTAGCTTTATTTCCACTGTCAACCTTTTAAGGACCACAACCTTCAAAAAGGGCCCAATTTGAGATGATGAGATAATCCTTAAACGGGGGCCAGTAAGTGACAGCAGGTTGTGAAGGTGTCTTTAAAGTCTGCAAAGGTATGCCTGCAGACACTAGCCATCAACACCATGCATCTTAACTTGATATTCCTGATTTTATCCAAATTTATACATCAGTAGTTAGAATAAAACCATTATTGGAATTTTGTTGATTTTGCCTGTCTAACTATTACAGAAGGAGCTTCAAAAAGCTGTCATCTGTCCTTCCGTCCTGAACACATTTTGCAGTCACTTGGTTGATCCATGGGGGAAGCAGAAAGAGAGATGTTTGTAATTCTGTTTTATAAGTATTTCTTTTTATACAGCTAGAGCCATGAACAAGCAACAAGGCTCTTTGAGTCTGTCTATTTAATTAATAGGCTCCATGTACAAAAATCTTCTCCTGAGCAAGAAGGCAATGCTTAGTTGCCAAATCTGTGAGAACCTTTATGTCCTGATGGAGAGTAAGAAGTGTGGAAGGGGCTATTCCACGTTTTACTTTGTTGACAGAAAAAATTGCAAATGGTGCAGGAGTGGTATTAATTTTGCATTCTTGCACCAGTCTTGTACATGTTTCTTTAGTGGGAAATGCTGTGATTTCCCCTTTCCCACCTTTGCCTGGTTGTGGAAAGGATTTTCCGTTCTTGCATTACCAACTCTCCACTGCAGTGAGTGTATGCACTTCCTCTGCTCCTGGCAGGAATCTCCTTCCCTACTTGGCAAATGGGAGCGTGTTTGCATGACCTGGCCCAAGGGCTGGACTTCAGAGCCGACCCTCCCATCAGCCCTGACCCAAGATATGGTCCTTTCATAGTGTGACAAATACAGGGCAACCTCTGCAAAGTTATGGGCTTTGTTTACCCATGGAAGATTAAAACTAGGGAGGTGTCCCACCTTCTGTGCACCTTTTTTAAAGAAAATTCTGCAGCTGCCTTTAATAACTCCTTTTGAAATATCTGTGTGCAAATGTGTCTAGCAGTCAGAAGAAGGGAGAACTTTGGACTTTCACGTTCCATATGGCATTGACACCTAAATTATTGCTTAGCCTTGTATTCTTTCATCCATAAATAAAGGAGGAGAATTGTAGTCATTCAACACAGAGGATATAAAAATAAAAGTAATTCCACTTATAGGATACGTTTAATTTATATTTATAAAAACATGTATATTATTTATTTGGACATTTGCCAGTGTACTAGGGTTGAATGTCATTGCATAATTTAGCAGGTCTTTCTGCACTGGAAAAGCTAGATAATTTCCTGTGGCGTGGCATGGCATGAAGACAAAGTGGTTGATCTCTGATTCTTATTTTTTTAAATATTTATTCCTCTCCTCTCTGCTTAAGCAAATTAATTCAGAAATATGGCCTCTATACTGCTTGCAATACAATAAGGCTTGTCACATATGCAAGCCAGGAGTGGACATCTGCCACTGTTAAACATCTGACTGTAAAATTCTAATATGTTAACAGCTAAACTCAATGTATTTACATATAGCAAATAACATAAGCTCACAAATGGTACAGACCTGGCGTCACCTAACACAGTAAACGTTATAAGTCACCTAAACTGATGTGACCAGCCACAGAGTGTATATAACACATTGCATTTACATGCTGAGTGCTGGAACATCTAGAATGAATTAAATTCAGGTCTGTGACTCTAAGCAACAGGGAGGAAATGGAACAATAACCCTTATTTGCATCTTAATTTCAATTGTTCTGAATGGATAAAGTTGAGAAGGCATCTGCTAACTTTTTTCTTCTATCCTACCCTCTCCTATGACTTGTAGTCTGCCTTGAAAGAGGATGAGTTTAATTTAAAGACAGTGAGAGACGTTCACTGGTGATTAGGCGGCAGTAAGCGTTTGCTGCTAACTCTTCTCTGGAGTTACTACCCTGTGGCTGAGGGTGCTTGTGCGCTCCTATGAGCTGATCCAGTCTGTTGTCTAATTTTACCTATCCATTAAAGCATCTGGGTAACCAAGGACACTTCTGGTAGAGATAGCTACCACTAGGTTAATCAGCACTAACTGTCACAACTCTAAAACCCTGGATATTTGATTTAAACCTTGTTCAATGCAAATAGAAATTCTCCCACCTGGGTGACTGCTGCTTCCCTGCGTGCTTAAAGATGCCTCTACAAATGTATTGTTACGAGTAGCAGCTTTTAGGTATGATGGTGAATAGTGTTGAATTTTCTTAGTTTGGGTTTAAATAAACCAAAGGCTTCCACCCACCCCCACCTTAAAAAACAAAGGAGAACAGAGATCCAGTAGTGTTTTGTTGTAACTTTGAGTTGAATCAGGCTCTGCCTGGCAAAGTCAGAATGGAGTCATTCAGATGTTGTGGACAGATATGGGCCTTTTGATTTGCTGATTTTTGACTTAACAGATCCTTGTCTTAGCTACTGAGCTTATTTCAAGTGCAGCAGACACGTGTACTCATCCAAACAGTTAATGCCAATGTAAATGGCTGCATTCCTGAGGTGAAATACCTGGGAGCAGGGCAGGTGCAGCTTTTCCCTCTCTGAAGCCAGTCTGAGTGCTTTTAGACTGCCCTTACTGCTCTTAGAAGTGTATTGCTCCTAGTTCAGAAAGTGTGAATGCTGTTTTCGTGTGACATTCATGGAGCACACTCTATGCTCAACATGAATAAAAAATAGCTACCACTTTCTCGCAGGTGTGCTGACTATCTTGGCAATGTACGAAGGATCCAATTATTCATTTGCCAGAGGGACGATGTCTTTTGGCACAGGTTGAAAATCATTGGCTAAAATTCACAGTGTCGTGGGTAAATTCAGAGTGCTAACAGCCAGGAGCAGTGCAGGACATCTTCAACTGCTGAGGGTGGAACTTGGCTGGTCTCATTTAGCCAGGCAGGCAGACTGGACTGTTTGGACCTGTGTAGGCCAAAGGACTAAAAAGTCAAAGCAGAGTTAGCAGATGGTGAAATCCAAGCACTGAATTCCCTGGACTTAGTTTGTTGGTACCTTACCAAAGATATCTGCAAAATTATTTTAACTTGCAGGAACACATGCTTTCAAAGAAAAATAAATCTCTTCCAGCTCTGTAGGGACAATGGTTTTCCAAGTAGAGTAAGACCAAAGAGCATAACAGCAGTGGAGCTGACATACCTTGTGCTGAATCTGTATTTGACCTCCTTTCTCTGCCATGACTGGGTTCTCCTCTAGGAATAAATCTGCAATGCAAAGAAAAATGTAATTACTTTAAGTGTGGGTCCTTTTTCACCTAGGAATACCAGGAAACAGAAAGAATATGTAACAAATAACTGCCTTAGTTAGACACAGGGGCCAGGCTGAAGTTATATACCCTGTGCTGATTTATATGGTACAAACAAACATCCTTGTATTGCAGTTGCACCTCTGACTGCAGTGTGTGGACATGGTCACTGGATTGTAGGCACATGTCCTCATCTCTCCTGTTCACTTGCATCCTTCTGTCTCATACTTTTAGGGCGAGTATCCTGTGAGATTTTGAAAACAATATCCCTGTTATTCAACCACAAACCCCAAATTCCTATACAAATTCAAAGCCATTTTTCCCCTTTTTTGGCAGCTACTTTGGAGACACATTGCCTTGTGCTCCTTGTCACCGTGCAAACCGTAGTGCTGGTGGAAGGCTTGTGCTGTAGGGGCTGGGGGAGATGTTTGGGAGACTCATTGTTTGGTGACAGCTTGAATGAATGTTAATATGAACAAAGCCTGAAATCAGACTTTCGAGGAGAAGCACCTGAAAACAGAGAAGAGTGGGCTGCAAATCTGTGACCATTCTACCCCTGCTGCATTTATTTAGGAAAATATCTTTTCTATAGAGCTACTCTAGATGTATTATTCTTCCCTGGAAAAGAGGATTCATTACTAAAAATTTAGAATAAAATGAAAACAAATGACCCTTTATAGCTGTGATTTTAATTTAACTGGACTGAGTCCAGTAAGATTTGGAGGAGGAGATGAGAGGTAAGGGGTCTGTCCAGGGCACTGGAAAGGCAAACAAGACCAATTTTCTCATAAATAACATTACAATATCCAAATTTAATAGCTGTTAACTATAGCCTCATTGTGCAGATGATCTTTCATCAGACCGTGGTGAATTTATTTCAATTAAGACTGATGTGTGAATAATTCAGGCATGACATGAATAATGCATGTCCAGATAACAGTTTACAAGTGCCTGTTTAAACAAGGTAGAGTGACTTAGAATGCACTTTCAAAGAATGGATTTAAAGTAAACTAAAGATTTTGCAATTATTAAGTAAGGGAAGTCCACTTTGTCTTAACTCCTCATGAAGCAGATACATTGCAGTATGCATAAATAACAGAAAGAAATAATCTACCTTTATACACAGTGCTGGGCTTTAAGCCATTGTCACTTTAGAAATGAGTTTTGAGATAACTTGGATAGTTCCTTGCAAGAGAGATTTAGTTCTGTAGGGCTACAAACTCATATTGTTTGCTTTCCTTTATTGTGGACTTTTCTGATGTATGGACATTCTCATTCCCCTGCTTTGTGCAGAGTCATAGGATAGAAAAGAGAAAGAGGGTGAAGTGAGGCAGTAAGAGAGGGATGATGAGGATAACCAGGGGTATGATATGGCTTTCGTAACAGAAAGATCAAACAAACCAGGACTAGTCATGTTTGAAAAGGAATAAATAGAGGGGAATATCATGAATGTTGCACAGAAATGGGAAGAGAAAGATTAGTAACCTGTTTTCAAAGTATGAGAACAGTACCCTAACCCCAGTGAAACTGGCAGGCTTTAAACCAAACAAAATTAGAAATTCACTCTTACAGTTTGTGACTACATTGTGGAACTTTCTGGTACAAACTGATTTATAGCCAGAAAAATTTATGAGCATTGAAGAATTGAAAAAAGGGTTAAAAATTCATGGAGATTTTTTCTGTCATTTCCATCAATCACCATGTGGGGTGACCTCAAAAAATTCTTAAACATCTGTGGAGGAAGGTGTGTCTCTCTGCTTTCTTAACACCTGCTGACCTGTCTGCTCCCTTTTTTGTGTGCTCTTTTCTAACACATTTTCTGTTGATGGCTACTGATGGTAGAATATGGGAGAAGAGGGACATTTGTGCAGACACTGATTAGTGTTTAAGGTATGTTCCTTTCTAACTGAGTATCCTCCAAAACCTGAACAGCTGAACATTAAAAGGGTCAGATTAGTAATGGCTGGGTTTTGAAAATTAAATTATATACTGGAGGAATTCCTGGTCTTGAATCTTAGTACTTTCAATTAAAAGCAACATAAAGATATAGGGGTGAAAGTCTGCAGCACGGCAGCTGACCCACTGCAGCAGAGTTTGCACAGTCTAGTCAATCCACATTTTCAAATTAGGACCGCAGACTGAAAACTGCAATTTCCACTTCTAGGCTCAGGGTAGAAGAATGTGTCTTGAAAACATTTTCTTTTGATTTCAGAGATTCATTAAAGATCTGAGTGCACTCTAATCCTCTTATATTTTCCTCATTAGATTTGGATTACTGCAGCCAAGCAAGGGGTGAAAGCTGGCACGTTCTTCTGGTCTATGTAAGTTCCTCTGTTTTCTGGAGATTTTTAACTAATAACTCGGAATTAATTTGATGTGTTTATTAAGTTGTTTTCCTTTCTCTAAGCATTTGGTAGCTTAGAGACTGTACCTGTAACCCTCTGTTGTTTCATTTGTTCAATGTTTCTGATGACTAAAGCTGATGCTGCAGTTTGCTGCTTTAGATTCATGCACTGATTTTTAGCAGTTGTCTAAAGAAAAAATGTGTAATTTTGTGAAAAATTACTTTCATTTCACAGTGTGGTTTTTTGCCTCCTTAGTATTGCTAGCAATGTTTCCAGGTCCTCTGAGAGTGGAAGACTCTTACTGTCCTCTTTGTTAGCTGACATTACCGGCCTATTTGACTCAAAGGCCTGACTCATTCATTTTACTATACAGTCTGACCTTTGAGTAAGATATCAAATTTCTCTTTCTTAAAAGACAACCCTGAGGATCTTTGTTGTTTGTTCTTTTGTTTAATGATTCCAACCTATTGTTCCTCATCCCAACTAAAGCTACAACCAAAAATGAATGCATTTTGATAATTTTTGAGTTCTGAGGAATTCATATGGATCAGTCTCTCCACTACATTTTAGCGGCAGGATCGCAGGAGCAAAGGTTTAAAGTGCATGATTGAAACAATAAGGGGATTTGGCTATTTTTTTGTGATTCCATTAGGCATAATACTCTTTACTGCTCTAAATATCATATCATATGGACAGAATATAAAAATAGGTTTGCAAGATGGTTTTCTGACAGAGCTTCACTCTGGTGCTCTACAAACCAAAGAGATCAATGTGATTCCTAAGCTCTATAGCTACATAATCTCCATAAACACCCTGGTCAATGCATGCTTGGGGATATAGAATGTTACAGAAGGTAACCAAGGATATGCCATATGAATGGCAATAGTAAAGGAGTGAGACAGCCACTTCATGTATGAAAGAAATACATATGCCTTAAATATATATGCCTATGTATTATTTATTTTGGAACAAAGAATGTTTTTGGGGAGAATTTCCAAGCAAACTCTTTTAGGAAAACAGAATTGTTAAAAAGATTTTAGTCAGAAATTAGTTAATTGCAATGATGGATTTTTTTTCATATTGCAAAATTAATAAAAACATAAAAATTGAGCAGTACCCAAGATTATGATTGCACTTTAAAATATTGCCTTGTTTGCAAATTTTAGCATAAATTCTCATTTTTATAGTTGTTTTTACAACTCAAAGTTCTCCATGTTGTTGGAGACTGAGGCCACTGTTATTTTACAAGGCACTAAAAATTAATGTATTTCCAAATGGCTGTTGACATCTCTATTTCTCTGTCAGATGTTTCCAAAGAATGCTGAATTCAATTCAGCGTGGCTGCTCTGATGGTTGTCTTTGATTCCTGTCTTGGGATTCTGTTATTGATCTAATGGAATCTGGACTGACTATGCTATTGTATTAAAATAACTGTGGTCACCGACCTGCATAGTTTTCCTAAGATGACCAAGATATTTGGAGTTTTAACAGCTGTTTATAGGGTTAGTCATATTCATAGCATGAGCTTGGCCTCAGCAGCCAAGTGAGAATGGCTATCACTATACAAACAGTAAACAGCAGCTGTTTGTTCTGCAGAGTGAGAAGTTGTCATAGTTATGCAAATCATCGTGCTGATGGCCTGATGTTTCAGATTACTGATTCTGATTTACACCAGCCTAGCCCTCAGTTTGGTTACTGTTAAGTCTGTGAGAACTTGTGCAGTGTCTGCAAGACTACCAGAGCAGGATGGTCATTTAAGCCTATACCGATGTGAGTAATGTAATGGTTTTTACTCATGTTGGCTATCCAATGGCTGCACGATTGTGCACAAGAAAAGGTTCATCTGGGTTAAAGCTACCAGAATGGATCTTTGTTCACTTTTATGTTAGATTTACTGCCTTGAGTTCTGAGTGCAGTTACAAAATTCTGTTCATCTTTCTTTTGGAATATGTGGACATTCAGGAGATCTGATCTGATTCTGTTTGCAAATTAAGAATCGGTATTAAGCAAAAAAAGAAGATACATCATGCTAAAATCAAATTACACTATTATGTTTTATTTTATTTGTTAGAATCAGTTCATAACAAGGTTTTGTTGATGCTTTCTGTATCCTATGATAACAAGGTATATTTCTGTATTTTGTGGTCTAGTGTCATCCCCCATGAGCGCAGAATATTAACAATACTGCAGTGGCTAACCCTTCCAGACAATGAAAGGTAATTCACTTATTGTCATCTGGTGTTGGATAACTGCTAGTTTGTCTTCTCCTTAGAGGTAGCTGGAGGAACAAGGAGAAATTTAATTCCAAAAATCATTTTTGTCTGCTACAGGCTATCACTGATTTAAGGATTTGTTTGAGTTTTGTGTTTAGTGGAATATTTTGGGTATTTGGGGTTTTTTTTGTTTGTTTTGGTGGTTTTTTGTTGTTGTTTTGTTTTCCAATATTAGCTCTTCCCCATCGGCAGTTTTATTCTTCCAAATAAATGTATGGTATGAATTTATTTCTTATCAAAAAGCATGTAGTTGCATGGATTAGGTTGGATTGTTCTTATCCTACTGAGCCTAATATAGTTTAACAACCTTACAGACAATGGCATTTGCAGAACTGGACACTGAGCACTAGGAAAATGTTAAGATTTTAATTATGAGTGGGGTTTAGTGCACAGCTTCCCACATGCTGCTGGCTGCAAAGCTCAGGCGAGCTGCTGTTGTGATTTCTCCTACAGGACTTAGAATGAGTGTGTGTCCTCAGATGGTACCCCATGTGCCTCCCTCTGTGTGTTCTTGGATTTAATAAAGCTGCAAAACAAGTAGATGCTTAATTATACCATGGAAACAAAGGACTGCTAAATGATTCTGTGATTGTATGACTGAGAAACTGTTCTTTTTCCATAAAGATAAGACTCTTTGGAAAGTTGGCTTGACTTGACTTGACCCAGCAGGCCCATGTGTTTGTGTTGTCGAAGGAAAGCTAACCTGACCAAGACCTTTCTTCCTTTCAGGCCTTATGTTTATGCTTTCTACTCTGAGCAACCAGATGCTGCTGGCCACAGATATGGTCCTTTCAATTCAGAGGTTAGTACGGATTTTTTCCTGCAGAAAAAGCAGGTCTCTCAAATTCTTGGTTTTTGAATAATTAATGCTGCTCAGGAGTAGCATTTTTAGCAACTTTTTTCCCACCTGTTTCTGCAGCATGAATCCCCTCTGCAAGAGAAAACAAAGTTATTGTTTAAAGGATTTATCATGTGAGATTATCTTCTGGGAGAAGGAACTGCCCATGTGTGATATGATTATGCAAAAGAAAAGATTTGGCAAAGACAGGAGTATGTTTGTGTGCAACAGCATAATTTGACTTTTCTCTAACAATTTGTCCTTCTTAAAAGCAATTAAAATATAATGCAGAAAATATTGAGGAAAAATGCAGAGCAGAAAAAAAACTTTCTTTAAGCTGACAGCCTGCAGTAGACAAAGTAATAATTCCAGTCTGTCAGGAACTGTAAAAAGCTGCTAGTTCCAGTTTCATATAGGCCCTACAGGGTTTCAGAAAGCTTTGCCAATACTGTTCCCTCAGGACCATACTGTTGAGTTTGAAGAAAGTTTTGAATCACCATAAAGCATTTTAATGAAAAATTATCTGCAACATGCTGCAGTTGTTTAACTCCTTGTTTGACTTCAGATAGCTGACTGTGACTGATGGGTACTGTTTCCCTGCCAGCACTGTCCAGCTGACAAGAACTTAAAAATGATGCATTTGCCTGGGATTTGTGAGGAGGGAAAGTAAATTCTGTACCCAGATATCCCACTTGGTTGACTGGGATCTGGCATTTCCAATAATCTCTGACATCTGGCAAAGGTCCCCTAGTTTCAGTGCAAATGTATGTCTGCAGATTCCCATCACAAGACTTTAGGAGTGTTTATATAAGCTTTTCAAAGGGCAAACAAATGTTTGCAAATCTTTGAAAAGTGAGGAGTGTATCAGATGCCTACCTCTTGGGAGGCAATACAAATTTCCTTGAGCAGCCAGGTACCCAGCAGTAGTTTCGTATTTGTTTGTATACATCTGGTAGCTGTTTCTTGACTGGAGAAGAGAGCGAAGGGAAGTAACATTAGTATTTTTTAGTATGCTTGAGTTATTTGGGCTGTTGAAATAGTTTGCAGCAGTTATGAAGTTGCAGTTGGTAGCATCCCTATTGGAGAAGTTTGAGCCATGGTCCAAGAACAGCGGGTGTGAGGAATTATTCCAAACCAGTGCTGAAACAAAATGGATGGAGGGAAGCAGTCCTTTTTCTGGATAAGGGGTGGTTAAGACCTACCAACACTCCTGTTAAATTGACAGGCAGGATATTTGTCCATGTTGTCATTTGGCTCAAAACAAGAGCTATGTCTGATTCAATTAGGCAAGGTATCAGTAATGAGAGCTCTCTGATTCAGTGATATATTTCTCAATAATGCTTTATAATTCCTCTTATTGAAGTGTTACAATTACTATATGTAGCTTATGACTGAAAACTCTAATTTTATTTATCTGGAGACAACCACCTCCTTCTGAACAGGGTTGTGGAGCTTTTTCCATGGACCTCAAGGAGAATATTAAGATGATGACACTGAAATTGTTCTTTAAATTGTAGTGTTTAACAAACCAGTTTAACATCCAATATGGCAATCTAGTTTCAGGTTAATTGTAAAAGTCTAAAAAGTGAAGTTAGGAAAGTGTTCATTGTAGAAAAAGTCGCTATAAAAAGAAAAAGCCTCCAAAGACTTTTACTGTTTGGGGGCTCTTCTCTACAGTTATCTGAAGGTTGATCTCTAATTGCAAGGCAAAGCTTAGCCTCTTAATAAGTGTGAATTAATAGCTTATGAAACTTTTGCAAAAAACTAGTTTTATGTCATTTGCGTTAAACACAAGAAGACTGTGAAACTGATTTTTAGCAAATTGAGAACAGATGAGTTGGCAGAACTTAGTATGGGTTTGCAGTTCAAACAGTGGAGCTAACTTTGTGAATGGAAATTTAAGTAAGTGAATACAGCTGTGTAAGTATACAGATGCTGAGGTTTGGGAGGGGCCTGGTTTCAGGATTGAAAAGCTAGGAAGTATTTTATATTGTTTCTCTTGACACTGCTTTCAGTGTAACTTTTAGGAGCTATGAAATTTACATACACCAGCTGGAAGAAAGTCCTCAAAGGGATCCCTTCCGGCTACTTCCGTGATATACTGAAAGTGTGACCTCCCTGGGAAATCATTCTTTTCTTGTATGATGCTGGCAGCACTTAGACAGCTGGAGTAGTACTCATCATTTTAATTCGTGCAAACGCAGATCAGCCAAACAATAATATTTGAAAACAAGCTCATAAGGACTCTGTTATATTTTAAATGGGCTTCTTATTTCTTCTTTTGAAGAGTGAATATTTTATGCTGAATTTTTCTTGCTGTAGTAGTTTGAGAAATAGTTTTATATCTTGAAAACCTCCAAATCTTACAAGTTTCCTTTAGAATAAAGTGAATTAGAGCTTATTATACCAAACAACGTTCTAAATATATTTTAAATATATAATCTTAAAGGTCTAATGGCATCCATTACCGATAGTTCTCAGCTTCCAAGCTTCAGCAGATGGCACTCAGAGCTTCCCAGGACATACACAACATCATATTTGCAGAGTGTCTTAAAAACTACAAGTAAAGGGACTTAGAGGCACATAAACCTTTGGTGAATTGCCAAGGTTTTTTAGGTAAATGGAATTGATATTATGGCTAGTGTACACAAGTGTAACTATGCATATACTGTAACATGAAGTTCAGTGTAAATGACTTGGTTGTCTAGGTTTGGTTGGGGTTTTTTTTTGTCTTGTGGTGGGTTTGTTTGGTTTTGGTTTTTTGTTTGTTTGTTTGTTTGGTGTTTTGTTTTTTGTTTTATTTTTAGTATTTCAGTGGATTCCATTATGTTTCCAGGAGCAGTTATGGGACATATAAAATATATGCTCGCTTTTGATTTACTTCTGCTTTTTTTTTCTTTCCCTCTGTGCTTCTGCAGTTGAACTCTGGTAGGTTGGTCCATCCGGGTCAAGAAGCAGAGCTTTGGCTGGCTAGTTACCCTTGTGATGTTACAGTTTCCTTCTGTAAGCAGGGAAGGATTTGTTTCCCTCCTCCATAACTCTGTTATGACTCTTCTCAAGCAAGACTAAGATTTGGCTGGTTAATAAGAACTTGGCTTTTTTTTTTTTCCTCCTAGCTAACTTTTTTTTTTTTTACATAAAATATTCCAGAAATATACTACCATAAGAGCTCTAAAATACATCGAAATCTGGCACTGCTAAGCCATTTCTGCTGCTCCTCTAACATGCTGTCTTGAGACAGTCATTTCAGTGTTCAGACCTCGCGTTTTCTGGCATTGTGGAGCTCTGTCTGGGCCGATTCAGAGACAGTAAAATGAGAATCCTTCCTTTCCCTGCCGCTCCTCTCATCAGGACTGCACAAAGCTTGAAGCATTTTAAAAACAGAAAACTCTGGTGCTGCTTTATTAAAATGCCTTTCTGGAGAAAGACGAATGAGACTGGACTAGAATCTCCTTTCCAGCTGCTTGCGTTGGAAGCAATGAAACAGCATGGCAGATGGTAACATCCCCTTCCTCCCCTTCCCTGTTTATGTAACTCTGTAACTGAACAACTGTGAGAAGCTGCCTAAGTACATAGAAGTTAAATAACATCGTAAATCTCCAACTCCTCTCAAGCCCATTCAGCATGCTCTGTCACACACAGCATATTGTAGTTTATCTCCTGGTAGGCATCACCTGTCAGCACTTCACACACCATCTGAGCAGTGCCAGGAGCCTGTGACTTGTGTTAAAGTCAGAGCAGGAGAGTTTAAAATTACAAGCAAGCTGATTAATGGAATAATAGTTTATTCTAGCTATATCTCCTTTTTTTTAACTTTTATAATTTTTTTCCTTCCATAAGTCTGTCCCAGGTAGTTGTGTGTTATGAACAATAACAATACCCAGTGAGCTGCCACACTGAAAGTGCTAGGAAATTAAATTCTCGAAATTGCCATGGAACTGGTAATGAGGCAGGTAGCAGGGCAGACTTCTCATGCGCTGCCACTAATGTGCCCTGCCTGGCTGATTGGAAGGATACGAGCTCCATTCTAACTGTCTCACCTTTGTAGCTCTGATCTGCAGACCCCAAAGAGTAGGTTCTGGTGATTTCAGTGGGTTACAAGGTCTGGCACACGATAGTGGCACCTGCTAATGCCACGGATGAAGGTACCTGGTGTCACTGATTCAGCCAAAAAGTGGGTGTGGGAAACCTTGCAGAAGTCATTTAGACTGAACAGGCTCTAATACTCATACCTAAGCCATCATTCAAGTGAAATGTTGCATTTCCACCAGCACTCTATCCCAGACACTTATTAAATGGTGTGCAATGAATTTCGCTTTAATTGAAATTGTTTACTTAATTTTTTATAATATTAATGTATTAATATCTTATAACTAACACCCCCCATATAACTATATATTTTCAAAGCCAGAAGCCCCACATATCTTCTGAAACACCAATTTAATTTGCTTTTATGCTGTCTGCTCTTGTAACTGCTCTGCTTTCAGTACAATTTGGTGGATTCCTCCTTAAAGAGGGACAGATCCTAAATTGTCCACAAGCCTAAATTTTTGAAAAGGCTAGAGCATTTATGCTTCAGAATTATCTGGCACACATAGCTTTACTATCTGATGTGAGTTGAGACAGGCTTTTTTTTCTGAGTCCAGACATCTCTCCCTGCCAGTACAGGAGAGTAGTTATGGCTCCCCTCTTACTCCGCCTAAGAGACCTAAGAGAAAGCTTCCTCCTAAGAGGAGACAGGAAAGACCAGTTGCAGCTCCAAAGAAAAGAAGAAAAGTACATAGAGTGGATCAATATTCTACGGAAACTCGTCGGAAGAAAGTAAGTTCCAAAAATTTATGATAGAAGTGCCACTTTTTAGGCACTGCGTTGTCTTTATTTTTTTCAACATGGGAGTTCATTCCATGCTTCAGGTTGGGATTTTGCAGCCAAAACTTTTCTAAATGTACTGAAGGACCCAAAGGAAAGCAGCCAAACCAGACCAAACCTTCTGGGAGCTATGTTTTTCTTATTTCAGACTGTTTGCATTAGGGAGAGTTGTCTTTATAATCCCTTAATATTTTTAAATCCAGCCATCAGCTGGAGGCAATGTCAGATAAATCCCCAGGAAGACAATTCCACTGTTGCTAACCCTTCTGAACTATTACTAGTTCTGCGATAGGCTGTAGACTCCTTAACTCCCACCTCATAGGAGCATAGTGATTATTCAAGATTTTATGTCTAATCATGATGGTTGTGGAAAATGTGACTCATAAAATCTAAAAGGAAAAGAACATTTGTTTTAAAAATGTACATTTTAAAGACATTTTGTGACTTTGGAGGGTAAGGGATTCTTGATTACATGATTTCTGAATGCTGTATTTGCAATAGAGATGGCGCACTACTCTATTTTCACAAGGAAAACATCAAATAGAAATTGCTTTATTAAGAAATGCAAGTGGATGAAAAGGGTATTCCTTAGTGTACGATCTTTCTCCACCTGGCACTAACCAACACACTAGGAGGGGTTATACACTGCTTCAGTATTATTTTCATTTCAGAAATTTAACTAAATAATTAAAAAACTCTTAAACAACCTACATATTTCTCCTTTAAGCTTGAAACAAAAGCCTTGACACTCCACAGTATACTACAAGAAGTTTTAAGCGTTCTTCTCAGTATCTTTTTTTGTGGCGATGTTTTCACAGTGCTACCAACTCTTTATTGTAGCATCGTCTTAGAGATCCATACATCTTGAAAGCTAAAATATTTCTGTACAGTCTTCCAAAGCCTTGATATTAACATATCAGCTGAAGAAGGATCCAAGAGTTCTATTTGTTTGCCAGTAACTTTTTGAAAGCTACATCTGCAAAAGAATGTGAGCTGTAAGAGGAGATCAAGTTGCTGAAGAGAGTAGCTAAACAAAATTACCTTCACTTGAAATCTCTGTAATTATTATTGCTCTGGTTTTTTATCATTATTATTTCTAAAAGAAGCCTCAAGCCTGCTGAAAAAAGTAAACAATGATAGAAAATCCATCTGGTACCGATCTCTTCACTCTTGTGACCAATGACAGGACTGGAGGAAATGGCATGGGGCTGAGTCAGGGGAGGTTTAGGTTGGATGTTAGGGAAAGGGTCTTCACCCAGAGAGTGGTTGAGCACAGGAAGAGACTCCCCAGGGAAGTGGTCACTGCACCAAGCCTGACAGAGTTCAGGGAGCATTTGGACAATGCTTTTGGGCACATAGCGGGATTCTTGGGGTGTCCTGTGCAGGGCCAGGAGGTGGACTCAGTGATCCTGATAGGTGCCTTCCAGCTCAGTATATTTGATGATTCTATGGATTTCCAGCTTTCTTGAATAAGCTTTGAATTCTGAGTAAACGTTTTATTTTCTTACATGACTGACATTGTATAAATAGTTTCATAAAAATGGAATTCCCATTTGTTGAAGAAGTTTTTTTATTTGAGAGTGGAAGAATGCTGAAATAGACAATTTTCTTTTTTTCTGAACTTGAATGTTCCAAAGTTTTTACTAAAGTGACTACTTAGGCCTTCCTCAATTAAAATATTTCAAAATTTCACCCTTTGACTGAACTGCTTCCATATGTTGCAGAAACTGTTCCTTCTGTTCCCCACCATAATTCCTTCTCTCATAAGTCACTTCTCTGTGTATTTATAGTGCCACATGGGAGTTGATATTTCCTATCTCATCTTATAACCTATCAGACTCGTTTAAAATGTATCTCTTAATGACTCAGGCAGAGGGAGAATTTCTGAACCATATCTTTCTGGGTCACACTAACATGGTGTTTATTTTGGAAAATTCTGCCAAAATCTACGTTTTTTCTCATCCACAATTTGTTATAATTCTTTTTGTCACTGGGAGGACTTTTTATTATGGATACTTGGATCAGCCAAATCAAACAGACAAATGAGGAAGAAGTTGCCATATTGTGACAACAAATGTTTTCTTCTCAAAATCAAAACAAAATCTGAGTCTTCTGCCTAAAAATCTGACTTTTCCCTCCTCTGTGCCATCTGGTAAAAAATATTTGATTTTCTTAAAGCTGAAAACACAGTCCTGTATCCTGCTGTTTTCTGGGTTTTTTCTTAATGAAAAAGAAACTTAAATGAAGAAATCACAGTATTGTATCTGTGTCCTCTGGGGCCTGCTGACGATTTGGCCAGAACTGTCATTTGAGCTGTTGGAAACTCTTGGCTTTGAAGCTGAAGAATGTTCCCTCTGAGCCCCATGTGCTACTCAAGTGACGTGCATGTTGTCGTCTAAGTATCAGATGTCCTTTGAAGTGAATTTCATTAAGTGACTTGGCATGTGAATCCCAAGTCCAAAGTTTCATTTCATGTTTGTGCTTTGACTAAACCATTCACATAAAATAGCCTTTTAAAAATACTGTTCTTTATTTATAAGAAGCAAACTGAACCCCAAAGTCATGTGTGCTTTCCTGCTCTCTATACATGGTTTTACCAACTGTACACATGTTCACTGGACGCCCAGGATCAGCCATAAAGATCTTCTGCTGTCTTGTGTCATCATCTCAGCAGGGCTTTCTCATGATGAAATCGTGCTGCAGATATGCAAAAGGAAATGGTATGATAGTTGTGGGTGCAACAGCTCAGCCAAGGCTTTCCCTCTTGACCTGGATGGTTACTCCTACCAGAGTTTTGCCAAAGGACCACCATTGTAGTAGTAGGAACATCACAATGACAGAATTAACTCTTTTTTTCTTTCTGCATATTTATACAGATGATGGTGAATCCTCTGAGAGAGATTGACAAGACAGTAGGACAACTAATGGATGGTCTGAAACAGCTGAAACTACATCGATGTGTCAATGTCATATTTGTTGGAGATCATGGTAAGTTTTAAACTATAATATTTATCAGTTAATAAATGCTTAAGCAATGTAGGTGTAGATATAATAAGTGAAATGAAAGTTCTGTTTAAAATATTTTTGTGCTGGGTTTTTTTCTGGTAGTTTAACATGCCCAAATGAGGCAGTTGGTGTGGACTGACCACTCAGCTCACCTGTTAATTGTCATTGGAGGACTTTTATAACAGTGATCTGGATATTTACATCTTCACTTAAAGCTTTTTAAATCTTGGCATTTCTGATATCACATCCAAGTGCAGCTCTTCTTGCATGTTTTGGAAGGCTATAATGTGCCTAGAGTAATCTTTCTGTCAGTTTTTATGGAAGGAAAACATTTAAAAGCCCTGTTCTCTTGTACATGAGGAGAGAAGTAGGACTTTAGATTAAGGAATTTCCATGGCAATTAGGGGGTCAAATTATCCAACCAGGAGAAAGACTGGAATATCTTTAGGAGACCGTGTTCAGCTTGGATGGAAAAGTTATCAAAATAATGGAGAAAGGAAGTAAAAAGATGTTTCATGGTCAGATGGAGAGCCACCTAAAAGAGGAGATATTATTTAGTAGGTCTCATTCTCTCAGACATCAGAAGAAACTTTACAATATAAGAAGTAGTAAATATAAGCAAAGGCAAAAAGAAAAAGAATTTTATTATAGAAAAACGCAACCATATTTGAGAGAAATCTGATTTTATATAACTTTTTTAGCGATGCCACCAAAGGTCCTGTTCTGTTTAGATCTCTGTTCATGAAAATCTCACAAGAACCACTAATATCAGCAATAAAATGGCATATGCCTCCTTTCCGGCTGTGGGGAGAGAAGGGCAAGGGGTGGGAAGGATTTCCAGAGATGGCAGTTTTGTGTTGAGAACCTTCTGTGTCTGGCAATACATTCCTCCCCGCCACAAATGGCGGCAAGAGAAAATTGTTTATCTGCAGCTGCCTTAGAACAGACCACCAACAGACAATACCTTTTGTGTATTTCTCTTAAAATCGTTTGTTTAAAAAGAAATAATCCCCAAACTAGTACACTAAACTAGAAACAGACTTTGATTTTTCCACGAGTTTAATTTGGAGTTGTGTTAGTGCACACATGGTATATGTGGTGACTGTTTCTACAACTCTGAGACTGGTATTTCTCTTGTTTAAGCAAGTGCTAAGATCACTCCCAGTTTGACTCCTACCAGTGCATTATGTTGGAATTAGATGGCTGTAAAGAACAAGATTAGTCATCCAAAATAATATATAGGGTGTTTGGGGTCTTTTTTTTTTTTTTTTTGCTGTTCTGGAAAATGTGGTTTTTTTCAGGCTGGATAAATTTTGCATTTTCCTTCTGCAGGAATGGAAGACACTACTTGTGAAAGAACTGAATTTTTAAGCAACTATCTGACTAATGTGGATGACATCATTTTGTTGCCTGGATCTTTAGGGCGAATTCGCCCTAGGCCTAGCAATAACCTAAAATGTAAGTTTAATCATTTCTCCTATACCCTGAAAACTAGACTTCATTCCTTCCTTGGACTGATGTTATCCAAAGGGTGTAAATTTGCAGTGTGTTGGCAGGAATTTTAGAGAGAATCCCACTGCTCACCAGCTGCTTCCTCCCTTCCCAGTCTGTAGTTCACAGACACCACAGTGGTACAGCTACCAAGTGGATGGCTGAAATGTTCTGGGTTAAACCCCACTCTTTTATATCAAGGAGGAGTGGGAACTCCAAGCCAGCTTCATGTGCCAGCTTATGTGTCCTTGTGAGTTTATTCATGCACTTTTCCCCTCTGTCAACAGAAAATGGACTTAGAAGATCTGAGCGCTGCACAGATTGGATATAAAAAAAAGCATCTCATACATTTTGAGCTAATAGAAAAAAAAGTGAATTGTTAATTTTGAATTCAGTAGTTTTATCAAACTTTTGGCATAGATGAGAAGCAGTGTGAGTTGCTGAACAGCAACAGACTGGAGATGTTGAGGGATATAAGGAAGATTTAGAGTATGCATTCAGGGCCAATGTTGACAGTAAAACTTGTTTTCTAGAAACATGCTTTTAGAAATTCACCCTGACTTAGTCTTTGAGATTAATTGATTTTTGATTAGTTCACTCAAGGCTCAGGCAGGAATCCTCTGGTTAAGCTAACACTGTGATTTCAAACCTTACAGACCCAGCTGCCCTCTGCTGCTCCTGAGGAATACCACCAGGGCAACAGTACTAGGACAGGGCTTGTGCCAGCACCATTGCTGCTGTGGCTCAATGTACCAGGGCAAAATTGGCTTTGCCAGCAGTTTAAACTACCATGCAAACTCATAAACTAACCATAAGTACCTGTCTTTTGCAGTATAGCTACAAGAGTGACAACTTTTGATAGAGGGGAAGATCAGATAGTTGGGACAGCCACCACAGTCCCTTCAAAACACTTCAGATATGTTTTGGTTGAGGACAAATTTCACAGAAAAGTTGATCTTTGAAGATTAAATACCTTTAGAATAGTAGCAGAAATCATAAGAATGTGGTAAAACTTTCTTAGATAGTGATTTATGTATGCATTTATTTTACTGTAAACTTATTTACCTGAGTATTTATGCTCGAGGAATACATGATGAATGTGGAAAGACCTGTTGAAAATAGTGCACATGTTGTTCAAACTTACCATAAAGACTGAATTCCTACACTTCACAGTCTACTGAAAACAAATTACAGTTCTGATAAGTCTTATAAAGATCTTTCAATCTTGAATTCCTAAACTGCTGAGAAAAATAAGTTTTCCTTCGAGGGTGAATGGCAATATCTTTCAGAAAGATCAGCTTGTCTCACTGACCTCTGAGTCACACCACTGGTTTTCCCGCAATAGCATTTTCCTCTTTTGGCCTCTGTCCACAGCTTCCTAGTTTGAATATTCGCAATTGCTTGTAAATCAGCTGTTTGAACACAGAACAAAGAAGCATGTTTCTTAGCTTTAGAACTGGGGTTTATCCCCCTAAATGGCACACTGCTGACTTTTTTATTCCTCCTACATTTTCCTGATCCATAATACTGTCTCAGTACTGCAAACACACCTTTGCAATGAAAAAACCTGTAGCTTGTGTTTTGAGGTTCAGTAGAGCCCATTCCAAGCTCGGCAAGATCATGCCTTAAGCAACCACAACATTAGTAGTTAAACAAGAGTTTCACACTTCCTAAGATTTTCTTTTAGTCTTTTTTTTTTTCTCTAAGAAGCAAAAAATACTTTCTCCCACTCTGCAGAAGAAAACAGTATGTACTGTTGCCAGATTTGGGCTTTCTGTGTCTTTCATGTCCCTTTAATTAGTCCAAAGACTTATCCAGAATATTTTACTTTGACTTTTCACTTACTTAGCAGTAGCCTATGAAATTGGTCAAATGTTAAAAGTGACCAAAAAATGCAACATATTTATCTTACTGCTTCTAACAGAGTGCATTGTTGCATTCAAATGTGCTTTGACAATTTTTCTTGGAAAGTAATTGTGTTTGAGGATAATTTTTTATTTTAAAGAACAACAGAGGTCTTGAAAGTATGTGTTTTCAGAAAATAGAATAAGTATTAAGCTAAGGTCCAGTCTTAAAGCAGTGAGAACACTACTAAGCAACTACATATCACTGAGCCATCACATGGCATGTGCAGGGCAGCCAGGGATCAGGCCCACCCAGCATGTGTTTAGGAAAGGCAAGTCCTGCTTGACCAACCAGATCTCCTACTATGACAAGGTGACCTGCTTAGTGGATGAGGGAAAGGCTGTGGATGTTTTCTAACTGGACTTTATCAAACCTTTGATACTGCCTCCCACATCATTCTCTTGAGAAACTGGAAGCCCATGGCTTGGACAGATGCGCCTTCAGTAGGTTAAAAACTGGCTAGATGGCTGGGCCCAGAGTGTTCCCCAGGGCTCAGTATTTGGGCTAGTTCTGTTTAATACCTTTTATTGATGATCTGGATGAGGGGGATCAAGGGAACCCTCATTCAGTTTGCAGACAACATCAGTCTGGGTGGGAGTGTTGATCTGCCAGAGGATAGGAGGGCCCTACAGAGAGATCGGGACAGGCTGGATCAATGGGCTGAGGCCAACGGTGTGAGGTTCTACAAGGACAGGTGCCAGGTCCTGCAGTGTGGTCACAACAACCTGAGGCAGTGCTATAGGCTTGGGGAACAGTAGCTGGAAAGTGGTTCAGTGGGAAAGGACCTGTGGGCGTTGGTCAACAGCAGCTGAACATGAAGCAGGTGCCCAGGTGGCCAAGCAGTCCAATGGCATTCTGGCCTGTATCAGAAACAGTGTGACCAGCAGGACCTGGGCAGTGATTGTGCCCCTGTACTCGGCACCGGTGAGGCTGCGCCTCAAATCCTGTGTTCAGGTTTGGACTCCTCACTACAAGAAAGACATTGAGGAGTTGGAGCACATCCAGAGAAGGGCAACGAAACTCATGAAGGGTCTGGAGCAAAAGCCTTAAGAGGAGTAGCTGAGGGAGCTGGGGGTGTTCAGCCTGGACAAGAGGAGATTCAGGAGAAATATCGCTCTCTACAACTATCTGAAAGGAGGTGGTAGCCAGGTGGAGATCGGTCTCTTCTCCCAGGTAACAAGTGACAGGACAAGAGGAAATAGCCTCAAGTTGCACCAGGGAAGGTTTAGATTGTATATTAGGAAAACTTTCTTTACAGAAAGGGTTGTCAAGCATTGGAACTGGCTGCCCGGGGATGTGGTGGAGTCACCATCCCTGGAGGTATTTAAAAGACATGTAGATGTTGCACTTAAGAACACAGATTAGTGGTGGACTTGGCAGTGCAGAGTTAATGGTTGGACTTGATCTTAAAGGTCTTTTCCAACCTAAACAATTCGATGATATATACAGAATACTTTTAGTAAAGATCAGTGAACTATTAGAAAGTATGCTTATGTAAATCTTGTGTTTTCTTCTATGAGTTTTTAATCTTTTATATTTTTTTTTCCTTTGCTTAACAGATGACCCTAAAGTGATTGTTGCCAACCTTACAGTAAGTACTTAGGACTGGGAGGTATCTGTCTGTATTGCCCTGTTCACATCTTGATTTGTGGCATTATTCAGCTTTCTCTGTTCATTCTTCAGGCAGGAAAACAAATGATTATCATGAATAAGAATGTTAAATGGTTCCCTTCATGAGTACACATTAATGTTTGTCATACATTCCACTGTTTGCTGCTATAATAGCTTCTTTAACCTTTTTGGGCAGCACAGACACAGAATCTCCTGGAGCATCTTTACTCCCTGAATTGGGTCTGTTTATTTATTGCTTCAGAAATAGAAAGTAACCTTTTAGAGTAAATATTTTACTAGCACTTTGAAGATGCTGAAAAAGTGCATTTGATAGTCTTCAACTTCCCTAGCTTTTAATTAAAGAAAAGTGTTTAAAATAAAAATAAAACAACCCCAAATTTTGTAACCAGATGGCTTTAAATCTATCTCATGCAGATAAGGTATATTTTTGAGCATTCAGGTTTCCTCTGAAACTTAAACTTTGATCCAGTTAGAATAAAATTCTTCATCTGTGAGCTTCATCTGTGATGTTTTGGATGATGCTTCCAATAGGAGTGTCACAGGAATGAAGATTTTCAAATATATCTTTGAATGACTCCCAAGTCCTTGGATGTAAGTAAATACTGCACAGAAATGACTGGCCTACATACTCTAGATGTACACTTTGTTTTCAAGACACCACCAGTGTTACAACCTTAACAACTTGATTTCTGTAGTTGAAGGTTTTATGTATGCCTTAAGCTACTGATGGTGTGTCATTTGTAACCATTTATATTTCAGTGTAGAAAGCCAGACCAGCACTTCAAGCCTTACTTGAAACAGCACTTGCCCAAACGCTTGCACTACGCTTACAACCGAAGAATTGAGGATGTTCATTTACTGGTGGATCGCAAATGGCATGTAGCAAGGTAAACCCTTGCTTTTGCTTCCTTCCTGATTTTCAGTCTTCTTCTCTGAGGAAAAGGGATTGCCCTGTCTCTTGGCATCCTGCTCCTGTACCTGTACCCTGTGCGGAAGAGGAGTTTCTAACTCCTGGTGAGGTTCAATAAATTTGAGGCGGGAAGATGTGGTTCAGAACACAAAATAATTTAAAGTTTCAGAAAATCAGTCACTGGATAGAGGGTAAAAACCCATACTGATTTCCTTTAGCAACTTTGTGGGTTTTTGACTGAAGAGTTCAACTGGGGAGTGGGGAATGTGGGAGGAAGAGGCAGGCTTACGTGGTGAGGGGATGTTAAGGAACAAGAGTCTGAGTGGATGCAGTAGGTGAATGGAAAGAAAATGGAGATATTGACAGAATAGATGAATGCCTGAGAACATGTGGAAGGCTATGACAGGGTGGCCATCAAAGTGCTGTGCTGGCAATGTATTGTGTTTCAAATCCACGAAAGCCAGGATGCTTTAGCTCAGAGAAAACCCTGATTTGGGTTGCTCTTCCCCGTATGAATTTTCACTTATAAAATATGGGCAATTTTTAACACTTTTAACATGAATTTTAAATATTAAATATTCATTTTAATTTTTAATATTGTAATATTTTATAATTTTTAAGCTAAAAATTGAGTGAGGAAAACCAAGTTGGCGGATATCTAGAGTGAAGAGGAGAGGAGTGTCCTTTGTCTGTGAACTGTGCACAGCTTTCTGTTTTAATATTCTTTTGACACATGTTGTGTATTACAGTATGAAAATGGTTGAGTCTTTATGCATGAAGCTGACTCAATGGTTCGTGGAGGATGACACAGCTTTTGGCTCATGCTAGTCTGTTACGAGTTTAAATTATGGTAGGGTTTTTTGCCCATATAGGTGCCAGGCAAACATGTAGTGTGTTGTAAGTGCCTTTTGACATCTGTGCTTATCTTTCCACGAATTATGCAAGGATCACTCTGCTGAAATAGTGAATGAGAAACCCCAGTTACTTTCTAGTGTAGCTCCACTGGCTGGCTGGCTGCCCTGTGCAGTTTCTGTGGCAGGGGTTCATGTACATTTCAAGGAATCACACTCTGAATTTTAGACCTATAGAAGTTTCAGGTTTAAGAATTTTGCTGGAACTGATGGGATTGGCCAGGGTCATTTACATTCAGCAGTTTCCTATTAATTGCATTAGACTTTCTTTGGTTTATTTATTACTTTTCAGAAATCTCATCCACCAATAATTCATTTGTTAATGTAACTGTAATTCATTATATGTTCACAGCCAGGAAAATGGTAGTCATAGATCTGATTGCTGTAACTCCAGTAATTTGCAAGGCCAAAATCAAACTTTGGTTGAGCATTATTTTATTGCAGATAAAGAAATTAATTTGTAGGATTAGCTGGTCCACTGCATGTATTGCCTGCACATGTCCCTATAAAACTATAAAAAAGTACTCTGAAACAAGCTGGTAAGTATAATTCCTATGACACAATACTTATTTTTCCACTTATTTTTTAAAAAACCCACCTTAGTAACAAGCTGATAATTAGCATTCCTATAATACAGCACTTATTATCTCAACTATTTGTCTTCATGAAAATCTTTCTCTTGTCCTTTCAGCTTTGTTTCTGCTCCCCATTTTTGTTTATTGAAAGCAAATAGGAGAAAGCATTTTATAGCATTATATGACATTTGCAGCATTGTAACATCACAAATGAGCTTTAGAGAAGCCTCTGTTGGTCTTTTGAGGATTGGAATAGTATGGTCCGACACCTCCAGTCTGCAGGAGGTTTTGTGACATGAGAAAGTCAGAGAAAATAATAGACACTAAGGTTTTTATCAATGATAAGAGCTGTCTCTTAGTTTTGCACCCTCTTAGAGTGGGAGCAGAGGGAGAAACCCTGGACATGCTGGATAAGCCTGCAGTCTCCACTACTGCTATTCAAGAAAACTAAACAATGCACTGCCCTGTAGCATTATGCTTCCTGCCTCCAAAGTGTATCATCAGGTCAGCCACCTTTTGAGGAAATTTTCTAATGCTTTTTCAATTTAGGAAAGCTGTGGACGTTTACAAGAAACCAACAGGAAAATGTTTCTTCCATGGAGACCATGGCTATGACAACAAGATAAACAGCATGCAGGTATGAGCAACACAGTAACCTTTGTGGGAGGGTCTTTGAAGGCAGAAGAAATTGAAGCTCTCTGCAACGAAAATACTCAGTGAAAAACCCCTACATTTTAATGCTCTTCTTCTCTCTTTTTTTTTTTTTTTTTTAAGACTGTCTTTATAGGTTATGGCCCCACCTTCAAATACAAGACCAAAGTACCTCCTTTTGAAAACATTGAACTTTACAACGTCATGTGTGGTAAGCTGCCTGCCTGAGAACTTGCAAAAGCAGCAAGCTGTTTTGGCCAGGAGGGCTTCATTTAGGCATCTGTGAGCTCATGCCCTGAGTCCTTCCCAGTGTTCTTTTCCTAGTTCCCCTTTCCCAAGTACTCACCAGGTGGGCTGAAGGCACTTCTCAGGGGCCTCAGTTTGTTCTACTTTAGCAGCTGGCCAATAAAGAGGATTTTGATGTGTGTAGCTTGACAGAGATCAAATGGACACCACTAAAATGTGTGGTGTCCACACCTCAGCAGTCTAGGAAGGAGGTTTCTATTCAGAGACTTCTTCTGCACCTGTATGTGTCATACAGTAGCTCAGGTTCATCACTTAGTTTTCTATGGGATCTTCTGTATGATTCTGTTTCTTGAATTTGTACTGAAGCCATGAAGAAGAATCTGATGATGTATGCAGATATTCATTAGGATCTTTAATACTGATTTTTCAGCACAATTAAACTTTCAAAGTGTAACTCACAATAAAACTTTCATGGTGTTTCAAAGGTGTAATTTTTTCCCCCCAAACTACCTAAGAGGTAGTTATCCCTTATTTATAAATCACTGTGTTGCAGATGTTTGGTGTAAGGTCAGCATATTGACTATAGAGTTTGCACTGTAAGCTGAAGGAGTAGTTACAATAAAACTGTTTTCCAGTGTCTTGATGCAAATTAACCTTCTTGTCATAAAGGCAACAATACTATTCATGTGGCATCTGAAATTTTATTGTTTGGACAAAAGATCAGTATTTTTATTACAGTAAAAGTTTTCATTAACGTGCTGTGGGTGTAAACAGTATTACTAATAAATGTCTCGGCTCGGTAGAGTTGTTGCGAACACATATTTGAAATCTAACCATCATTCATATTTCTTTGATGATTTCATAGATCTGCTTGGATTAAAGCCTGCTCCCAATAATGGCACTCATGGAAGTTTAAATCACCTTCTGAGAGCCAATGTTTATAAACCAACTGTGCCGGATGAAGTTGCTAAACCACTGTATCCTGTAGCCCTACCTTCTGCATCAGATTTTGATATAGGATGTACATGTGATGACAAGGTAAGTGTTTAGGATCTGTGGAAGCTTCCACTATTAGCATTAATTTCTAATAAATTTGTAGCCATTTTATTTGTTTTGAGAGAGTTTGATCTATAAGAATTCCCCATATCCTTCCTCTGAAGTGTTTCTGTCCTTTTGGAACAATTATGGCTTTTTGTAAAAGAGGAGACAAGAAAATCATCAGTTTCTTACAGCACTAGCTTTGTTTTGCTAGATGCCTAGTAAAACAAGATGTCAGAATGCTCCAGTGATCCTAATCTTGTTCCTTTTTTCTGTTCTTGAGAAGAACAAATTGGATGAACTCAACAAGCGCTTTCACGTCAAGGGAACAGAAGGTAAGAGCCTGGTGCCTCAGTCAATAAAATCTACCTCTGGTTTTTTTTGAAAATCACTTTGTGTCATTAATAACAGAGCAACTGGTTTGGTTTAGTTAATGTGTAGTAAACTGTCTTTTCAAGTAACTGTCAAAATAGCACACAGACATTCATGAGATACGTGGGCAAGATGAAGTGCTGCTCACATGAGGAAGTTCACACTATCTTTTGTTGTTACCAGGACTAAAGTATCATTCACAGTGATAAAAATTTTAGTTCTTCCATTCCACTACTTTTAGAAGTTTTAAGCTCAGATGTGGAAGCAGAGACATGAGGAAAGGAGAGGGTGCACGAGGCAGTACTCCATTCAACCACAAGCTATAAATGGGGAAAAAACCATAGACCACATCTGCATGCTGTTTTATCAGTGTTGTTCAGGTTTAGGTTTCACAGCTGCTTTGACAATATCTGGCTAGGTCTCTAGTGCTTGTTTCTTAGGGTGCAGTTTACCCAGTGAAACAAGTGTTTAGAGATACTCAGCTCAATTCCGTCCCTCTTCAGTGTTCAAGTCAATGTTACTCCCAGGAGAAAGCATCCCCTGCTCTCCCTGCTCCTCATTCCTGCACCCTCCCTGCCGTAGTCCAGCACTGATTTCCATGTGGCTGCACCCTCAGATGCACCAGGACTGTGGTGAAGATTAAAGGGCAGCAACAGGAGCAGAGAGAAGGGGATGAGAACTGCTGACAGAAAGGCAAATCAAGGCAGAGCTTCTCACAGCTGTGATCCAGTTCAGCATAACAATTCACAGCATTTCCCTTACCACAACAATGGTCCAAATTAGCAAACTCTGAAGCTTTGAGTTTAGACGTGAATTTTTGAGGTACCTCAAATTGATTAAGGAGATTTGCTTTGATTCCCTTAAGAAGGTATTTTTTCAGTTTTTCTGTTGTGAACAGTCAATGCGGCCTATCCTTTAGTTTCTAAAGGTGAAGTTATTCATCTTATGTGAGTTAAATTGCCTTTCTGCAGCTTTCATCTTGTTAAACTGATTTTTCCAATTAATGAAGGGCTCCTCCTTGCCGTGGCAATTTCTGGCATCAGGAAAAAACACTCTTGTCATTGTAGTCTGGGGTATCTCAACATCTCTGTTTTGGATTATGGTTTCGATGCTTCCTCACTGTAGTAATATAAAAATAGTATTTTTAGTGTATTTTAAGATGTAAGCATTTAAACCAATTACACTTGGCTTGTCAGTTTGCTGCTAAGTGTGGAATGATGAGCCCCTTATTTAAACAACAAGGAATTTTGCTAGGTATAAGTTATTTTGTTTTACTTCATTACAGGCTGTAGCACCTGTTCACAGACCTTCCTGCATTTATTTGTTAATTCCCGTCTCCCACACAGTGCACTGTGTTGTTATTCACATGCAGAAGAAAAAGATGACTTCAGCTTCTTTTGAATAAAGCAAGTTTATCATCTCTATCCTTAGACTAGGCTTTCCTACTTTTTTTCTTGTGCCCTGTGAAAACATCCTCTGTTTGGACTCAAACACTAATAAAACATGCCCTTTTCTTTCAGGTTAAATGCCTTTCTGTAAACTGTGTTAGGCTGCTTTCCTTGTTTCTAGGTTTTAATTTCTAAAAGTAAGCCAAGTGTTTTTGCCAAAAGGTTATCAAAATCAATGAACTGTACAGGGCAGTGCAAGATTAGCCAGGAAATTTATTTTTCTTCTATCTCATTCAGTGTTTTTATCTGTTTATAAGCAAGCTTGTCAGAGTTATCTAAGGACATTTAACTGTAACTTATCACCGAGACAGAAGAAAAGCAAGTTTTACAGAGCTGGAGACGTCTTTGTAGCCAAAGTTAGGAAAAAGGCTTTTTTTCTTTCTTTGTTTTTTTTGATATTACTAACAAAAAATAGCACACCAGTCTTCAGAACAAAATCTGTATCAGCCAAGGGTAAAAAAACCTATTCTTTTAGTGAGTGATGACTTCTGCCTCCCTTTTGAGAGGGACTTTACAAAAAAACATAGGAAAGAGAGAAAGTCCAGAGAGGAATGGCAGGACTGCTAGAATAGGGACTGATGTAAAGCTACAAAAAAAAAGTGGTTATCACCTCATGTGACTGAGATATGGACACAGGGATCCTTGAGGAGTCTCCTGTGTTTGGATGCCTCTCTTCATGCTATGACCCCATCAAGCTTTCAAGGTTACAATGGAATTTTAATCTCAAAGGGGGTTGTGAGCCTGGAATGAGGATCCCAAGTAGAACTGTTGAAGAGCTGCTGCTCTGCCTGTTGCAAGATTTTCTTAGCAGTTATTCAGGGTCAGTATATCCCATTAATGATGACTGAAAAATCAACATGTGATACAAAGCTGACCCCCCTCCTTTTTTTTTTTCATCTTTAATTTTTTCAGTAATAAATGTAAATGTAATTTCTTCTGATCTGCAGATAAGCATCTTTTATATGGGCGCCCTGCAGTACTGTACCGCACAAAATACAATATCTTGCATCACCATGACTTTGAAAGTGGCTACAGTGAAACATTCCTGATGCCTCTGTGGACATCCTACACTATTTCCAAACAGGTTAGTGCTCTCATTCCTCTTGAAAAAATGCTTAAAAATCCTGGGGAAATTTCTTTGGTACCTGTGTTCTTGAAGTCATAAAATTCCCTTTCCCCAGGAAGATTTTCCACCAGAAATTATGTCAAGTACCATTGCAAACAATGCCCAAATTCTTTTTTCCTTCATGAGGGAGGAAATTTAAGGCAGAAGGGTTGTATATTTCTGTTCCTATTTTAATTTTAAAGTTTTTTTCAATGGGGGTTTGTTTTATTATGAGTGACTTCATTTGAATTATTTCCCATGGTGACTTCTGCTACCTGAAGAAGGGGCTCTGCAGCAAATGCAGGAGCATGATTTGGTTGTACAGTTAGGTGGTTTATTTTACTGCACACAAGGCCTTCCATATAGGCTGTCGAATGTATGAAATAGTTTTCTTTTATCTATGAAAGCTGAAATTACCCTTTTTGTTGTTTCTGTCTGTGTTCCTCAATGCAGGCAGAGGTATCAGGTGTCCCAGAGCACCTGTCCAGCTGTGTGAGGCCTGACCTGCGCATTTCTCCAGGAAATAGCCAGAGCTGTGCAGCCTACAGGGGCGACAAACAGCTCTCCTATGGCTTCCTTTTCCCTCCTCGTAAGTTTTGATAGCTTTTAATACCTAAAGATTTTGTAATTTTCCTTTTTTGTTAGGGAATGTGAACATATTCCAGGCACACCCCCCAGATATAAACAGACTAATTTTGAATTCAAACAGCAGTAAGCTAAACATGTTTTTAATTTATAAATCCAAATTAGACTGCTGCATACTCTAAAAATTTCTGCCATCCTCTAGAAATAGTGCTAGTAGAGACCCTGTGTAAATGAGTGTCCTGGATTCTCCTGGAGCAGTTGTCTTGGAGCAGGGATCTTCTGGGACTAGTAAATATTCAAGGGACAGAACTGTCTCACAGCTGTGAACTTCATTGCTCTGCCTTTCTCACTCAGTGGCTGAAATATTTCATGGTGGATTTCTGAAACTGAATTACTGGTGAGAGACTTGCTCAGAACTAGAAGATAATCTCACACTCCTCACTTGCCCTGAAATTGTTGGCCTCTTTTTAAAAGCTTGCAAAGCAGATCTCTGACTTTTGAGACAGCAATATAAAGCTATATAAAAATATTGTGAACTGGTTGACAGTTGAAGCAAAAGATAGAATCCTTCCTTTCCATGTTCAGCTGCCACATTAAAGACAAATTTTGTGTATTTAGTGTGCGCTTCTGAATATAGCACTCAGATTTGCTGTTTAGATTACAGTATTCCTGGTAGTTAATCTCTGAAGCCATTTTCAAAACATTTTTATATTCTTTGAAATTCTTATATTTCATCTTATTAATATTTTGCTGTTTCACCGTTTTCAGAATTAAGTTCCTCTGCAGAAGCAAAATATGATGCTTTTCTAATAACAAATATCATTCCAATGTATCCTGCCTTCAAAAGTAAGTGCCCTTTCCATGACTATACTTCTCTTTCCCAACAAGCATTTTTTTACTGTTTGTTGGATTACGGAACAAATGTGGTTTTTTTACTGTGTGTTGGATTACGGGAGAAGTTTAGAAAATAAAGTTCAGTTACCTGTAGCCAGCAGATAATATATGTGGGCACCTCTATAGTTTTAGGTATGGGCAGGCAAAATACTGCAAGAAAGGCTGAAGTCTTAAGAAAGATTTATTTTCCTTGGTACTGGGCTAAGGTAAGAGCATAGACAGGTCAGCAACTTTGCTTTATGACACAGTAATTCACTTTCTGTAAGACCATTGAGATTCTCTTGTCTGCAGCCCAAGCTAGTGGAGAACATACTTAGGCAACGTTTTTACGTCTCAACTGGAGCCTGAGAGCGTGCACAAGCCTGGGAGCCCTTAGCATGTTGTTGTAGGTCAGGAACAAGTGATTACATTTCATTTTTCTCTCCATGCCCTTAAAGGGAGACGGAACATATTGATTATCTATAAAGAAAAAAAGAAAAGAAAACAAATTTATGGAAAATGAGGAATGATTTAAACCTGGCTGAAACTTTCAGTGCTTCAGGGATATAGTATTAACATTTCTTTTGTCTGCACATCCGTTTTCTCTCTAGTTTTGCCAAGAGGTAGAAAAGCCATCAGGCTATTCTGGTGGCATTTTTGGCTTGGCAGGGATTGAGAAGCCTTGGAAGAATCTCAAGAGCCTGTTCTTGTGAGATTTCCAATTCAGATTTGAGGCCAGAGAGGTTTGGATAAACATCAAAGCCTATGGGAGTCGTCTTCTTTTTAGCCAGGAAAGAGTGTTTTTAACAGAAAAACCTCTGAGTAGGAACAAGTGGTGATGTTTGCTGGAAGTTTGAGCAAAGGCACTTAACTGATTAGAGAGTGCAAAATTATTGGGGATTTCCCACACTTAAATCACTTCATAAAAATGTTCTTTATGCTAATGTTAATCTAAGAAATTCAGCTGAAATTCTAATCACAGGAGAACAACCCACCTCTACCAGCTCTAGCCTTCCTCTTCATCACAAGTGGGTGAAGGATTCCTTGAGAAAATATGCTGGCATTAATGTGATTCCTGAGGAATTAAAAACAACTACATGTGTGCAGGTTGCAATGCTGGGAGCCAAGTATAAGCTTATTATATGGACCTTTTTCCACAACAGGGAAAATACGAGGTGGCAGTTTTATGCTGTGCTGGCTTTGGTGGCAGTGCTGGCTGCAGAGGCCCCCTCCTCTTCTTTGTTTTTTTTAATTCACCGTCCCATCCCACCCCCATGAGCAATAATTCTGTGTCTATCTTTTCCATAGTGAGACTGGCTTGAGCAGCTCCTGCTTTGCTGGAGCTACAAGAATGATGCCCCTGGGCTGCCCCCCCATTGCCCTGGCATTGCTCTCTGTGTGGTTGCACTGGGAACTGGAGCAGGGAACTGATTTAGCTACAAAATTTGAGGCAGTGGGAGGGAGGGCGAGTCTTTCCTTTTTGAACTGTTTTCATTGTTAAGGCATATGCATTGGAGGAATGAGCAGCTAGAGGAGTGGTACTGCCAAGTGGTTACTGCAGCTGAGGTTCTTGTTAGACCATTGCTGGGGGTGGCCCTGTGCATCAGCCTCAGCAGGGATTGCATGTGGCACTGGGCAGGCTTAGGCCAAGGTGTACTGGTGAGCTTTCTGAGGCTGGCATTGCCATCAGCGCCAGGGAACCATGGACTTGACCGTCTGTGCTGGCAAGACAAGAGTTAAACTTTTGCAAGTCTGAGGAAGTTTTGTTTACACACACTTCTGTTAGTTAAAATAAAAAGGGAAAAAAGAACAAAAAGAATGATGTAACTGGGGATTCCAGTGTGTTTCCCATCCTAACTTGTCAAGGTTGAGGAGGGCATGGTGGGAGAAAGTGTTTCATGCTCTTCCCAAAGGTTGCTATAAGAAGATGCTATGCTTTTTGCATTCTTGATGGCACCTAATTTAAAACTTCAACATTTTGCATTCAATGAGAATTTAACTGGATGACTATGACCTTTGTGCTTCCCTTTTTTTAAACTGTTTGGGGTTTGCATTTAATCACGGTGCTGTATTATTTTTAAAATTAAAAAAAACCAAACCAAAACAAAAAAGCACCACAGCACTGTTCTCCAGAATTAGATAAGAAAGACAAAGGCAATGTTCAGGGACATCAAAAGCATGTGAATAGCTGTTTCTACAGCTTGGTGAAGGAACAGCAGAATCTCTATTGCAAGGCCTGTGGCAATGCCAGCCTGGAAGTGGTACCGTGCCTTTCGTTTATCACTGGTTGAGCGAAAAAAAATCAGCAGAGAACAAAAGTCTGAATAGGCTTTATTGACAAAACAGAATGAAGTTGCAGTAACTCTGTAATGTTTGGTCTTTGATTTCCCCTACAGTTGTGTGAATGATGTCCACTGGATTTTTATCTTCAGGAAAGAAAAACTGTTTATAATCTTGAGATGTTTTGACTTATCCAAATTTGAGTGTGTTGAGGATTTTTTTTACTTGTTTGTTTGATTGATTTTGTTTGGGTTTTTTACCCACAGAGGTATGGAACTATTTCCAAAGGGTTTTGGTGAAGAGATATGCCACTGAACGAAATGGAGTCAATGTTATAAGTGGACCAATCTTTGACTATGACTATGATGGTTTACATGACACACCTGACAAAATAAAACAGTAAGAGTTTGTCTTTAAATTGATTTGCTGTTGCTTCTCTTAATGGTGACTTTATCTTAAACAATTCATTACCTGCACATAATTTGATTTTTGGGAGGAAATTTGATTTTCTAGCTCTTTCTAAAATTATTGCTCGTTAAAACTAAATGCCCAAGTAGGTAGGACAGTGGTAAAAATAAGGAAATGGCAATTCAACAGTTAACTCTTCACCTTGACTTTGAAATTAAGTGTTCATCCTTGAGAGGAAGCTGAATTATGTTCCAAATTGTTTGTTTTCTCTTAAATTCTCCAGAACTTAAGAGCAGCACTATCGAATTACATACTCGGGTCTTTTGTTAATTCAATAATGCTTTGTCTCCATGTCCCTGAACTGAAGAAGCCTTTCAGTGCTGCATTGTTTTTTTCTATAGCACAGTATGAGCTAATTGGACGCTCATTTTCAGATAGTGTTCAGGAATCAAGCATATCTCAACAATGTATGTGTGTCCTCACATGTAGGAGAGGAAAGACAACGTTCTTTGTGTAACCTCCCTCCAGACAAGTTCATCCTTTGTGGATAGATGTTTGCTTTATTCTCGTAGGTTTGTGGAAGGCAGCACAATCCCTGTTCCAACTCATTACTATGCCATCATAACCAGCTGCTTAGATTTCACTCAGCCAGCCGACAAGTGTGATGGACCACTCTCTGTTCTCTCATACATCCTTCCCCACCGGCCTGACAATGATGAGAGCTGCAATGTAAGTCCTGCTGCACTACTCTAGCCCTGTGGTAAACATATTCCTGGGTCACATGAAAACCCATTATTATTAGAAGCTAATGCTCGATGATGTGTTGAATGGCAGCACGAAGTAGTGACTCTGCTGAGTGTCATGTTTAGCTCATTAGACAAAAGCACTCCTCTGTGATATCAGGGGAAATATGGAACTATTACTGCACCTAAAATTGTCTGGAAGAACTGACATACAGTAGGTTGGCAGTAAACAATCTGTAGGATTCTACATTTTGACAGACACTGTCAGTGTAACTTGAGAGCAGACTGGGGGGAGGTTGTATGTGTAGACATATTGTCCTGGCAGCCAGCCTGATGTTTTTATTGAGGTCAGATTCCATATGCAGGTACAATACAGTCTGTCTGCTGTGGCAGTCTGGGTGCATCAGACAGCATGATTACATCCAGCCCACACAGTATTAAACGTATAGGCTAAAACCTGCCAAGGGTAGAGTGCCAGCTCTTACTGTCTCCAGAATCCCTTGATTCAAGGGAGAAGTTTGGGTTCCTATTACAGAGACAGCCAGACACCCTCCTGGTTTCTTTCCTATCTTCCTTTAGGATGCAAGGTCTTACACTGTCAGAATGCTGATGAAGGCTTTGGTCTGGTCACCACTGCAGAAAGTAACACACACACTTGGCAGCTGATGGTGTGGCAGGAGTGCGGTTGAGTCCCCGTGGGCTCCAGCACCGTGCGAGGACAGCAGTCCCCCCCAGGCAGCTGTATTTAGACTTGTCCTTCCGCCGAACTTGTTCTCCCATTACACAGCTGTGTGAATTCCTGCACACAGACACTTCACTATAGGCTGCCAGGAGACCGTTTCCTGAATGAACGCATTAATGTTATGAATTTTGTATTGGCAAGAAAGTTAAGACTCCTGTTCCAGCTACAGGCAGAAATAGTCGTTCCAGTTCTGTACACAATTCACCTGGAACACTGTTTCTTTCTCATTCATCAAACATCGCCTGCTTTCAGGTCCCTCTTTTTAAAACCATGTTTTTGGAGAAGTGTCCCTCTCTCTTGAGCAGGTCTGGCTTTCCCCTGTTTAGACTCTCAACTGCTCTGGGCAGAGAAGTCTTCCACCAGAAGTCTCATAAAGTCCTACATATACTTCATCGTGGTTTTTCTCTGGACTGCTTTCCTCTGAGACAAGATCCAGTTGGTGATCTGAAGGTTACTAGTCTGGCAGTTATTAGTGCCTCTGCCCTTATAACTCTACCCATATGTCATTTTATGACAAAGTAATTTATTTTTTCCTCCCTCTGTTGCAAGTCATATTTCTCTTAAACTGTTGAAATCTTTTTTATAAGCTCTTTATAATAATGGCCTCTTTTAGTCTTTGATTTCTTACATCTCAAAACAGGCTTCTTTTCTCTATAGGTCACACTACTTATGGTGCGTGTATTTACAGTTCTGAGAAGAACTTCAGTGCTACTATGAGGTCATTAGCAGATATTGGTCTATGAATTCTATATAGCAAAGCACCACTCCAAAAATATTTAAATGTTGCTCTTGAATGAAAGTACAGTTAGGCAAATTTTTGCCATTGAAATACAGCATCAGTCTTACTTTTGCACATGGTGTTCCATCTTATTTGTTCAAAGAAGTGATTGTGTAAAACCTCACCATATTTCATGGATGAAATGCATGGAATAATATAACAATTTTACCTTAACCTCTCCATGGTTTTCTTTTAAGATTTGGGGAAATATTAGCTTTCCCTCCTACTCTGCTCTAGCTGCACACACTTTCTTCACAGAGCCATTGGAGAACACCACTACACTTCTCATTTGAATTTGTTCCATTTCTAAACTATGTTTATTCATGGTGAGGTTATACCCATTTATTCTTGTGTCAACATTTTTCTATGTCTTAAATAGTTCTTCACTGGGCTTCTTTGGGATTTACCCTAGTGATGATTTATGGTGAATCTCAAGGCATACACTTCTCTCTATTCGTGGAAGACCCAGGATCTTTTTTGCTCTTGTAAGAAAGGATGAGTATGGTAGTAGTCTTCCTATGCATCTCTTCCAGTCTGATCTTTTTTTAGTTTTTCTTTTTTTTTTTTTTCCTGGATCATGAATGAGATAAAATACTGTAGCTCAGATCTCAAAGTGAAAATATTTTTTTTCCTCTGATACTACCTAGAATTTGCTTTTTCCATAGCTGTTGTATAATGGTGGCTCACATTTATGCACAACCAGTACATCCAGGTCTTTCTCTTCTGTATGTCAGATAACCTAACTTCATATTATACCAGGGATTCCTGCATCTGCGTCCTCCACTATGCTATGCAGTTATTCCTCTGCATTGACAGGTGTTCCCAATAGTTGTGATTTTTTACTAGTACACTAATGACCTTGGCTCAAGAAGCATGTGTGAAAATAGTACACAAAATCCTAAGACCAAAGCTGAAGGAACCCTGCTAGAAACTTCCTCCAGGCCACTATTTTCCCTTTCAGCAAAACCTTTAATTTTTTTTGATAAGCAAGTTCCTCACCCACCTGTCTACATGCATCATGTTCAGCTTTCCAGCTAATAATTTTATTTCCAAAGAGATTTTTGTCCAGAATATCTGGTACATTTTCCACTGGATTTTAGGTTATCCTCCTAATTGATTGCCTATTTCAATTTACCCTCATATTTTCAATTGTTACTTTTTCCTTCTAAGACTCACTGTACTATTGACTAACCAACATAGGTGGGAAAAACTATAATTTAAAATGTATACACTTCATTCATTGTTATCTAGTAATGTAATAATGTAATACTGTGTTAGCTGATCTCTGTGTTTAAAATCCTTGCCACTTGACCTGAGCCTTCATGGGCCAGTTGTGGAATGGAAAACTAAAACCTAGATCAGTTGACTGATTTTCTGGAGTCATGCAAAAGCTGTCTATTTGGACTTGGTTTAAACCAACCTCACAGTCCTGTGATTTATTCATGTTGCAGATCTTTTGCAAACTGTCTGTATTCAAAAAAGTGAGCTTTGTAGCTCATTTTGAACTTCTCTCTGAGCTCTGCAAAATGCAGATTTTCTGCTCAGAAGGAAAGCTTGGAGCAAACAAAAATGTCAGAGTAACTGTTTGCAATAACAACCCTGTTGAGGCCAGTATGCAGACCAGCAACCTGGCTGTCAGGCCCAAGGCTGAGCAGGGGGCTTTCCTGGAGCATGGCACTGCAGGCAAAGCAGAGTGAGTAGGGTGCGCTCCCTTCCCTTCCCTTCCCTCTTAATTTACATCTTTCTTTTCTTGTTCCAGATCTGGTTTTGGGCCTCAGGTTGCTAGTGACATGGAGAGGAAAGATGGTTTGGAGCTGAGAAGCTTCAAACCTGACAAGTGCTGACTAGGTCATAGACGTTTGCTTAAGAGAAGCCACCTGTGATCTGTCTGGTACTTCGTGTCCTCTCTGTGCAAACAGTCAAGCTCACCCACTTGGGTGACCCACTTACTGGGCTGTGGTATATTTACTGTGTTGGATAGGCTCTGGCATTGCTGAAGCTTAGTCTTGATCCATGAGAGGATCACTTTGCAGGAGGATCTTGCTGAGACAATTAGAAGAGAGTTCATTACCAGGAGTAAGCCCAAAAATAGATTTTTTAGCAGCAAGATTTCCAAGTCATACACATCGAGTCCAAAAGCCCAGAGACACAACCCTCCATCCCTAACTTGCTTCCCCAGCAGCAGGGTAGATGTACCAGCCAGAGAGGCCAAAAGGGGAAAAGTCCTGTTTGCTCTGTCCTTTTCCCACGTCTGCTCCCCGCTGTGCAGTCCCCAGGGCTGCAATGCTTGTGGGACATGTTTTGAACTGGTTAACACACTCAAACAGCCAGTCACTGCAGTGTTTTGCAGACCTGATCTGATATGCTTGTGAGTTACCTTTGTGGATCACTCCAACATGTGCTGGTGCTGGCACAAGGCAGGCAGCAGGAGCTGTCCCCTAAGAGAAATTACACCCACACAACCTAACCCCGATCATGCTGGCATCAACATCTTCCTGTTTTGTTTGGGGTTTTTTTAAATGGCAAGTTCTTGGTGAAAGTCTTTTTTCTGTCAGTGAATAGTATATATGTTCCAGTAGGTACCAACATAAGCCATTGTCCCAAACGTGTAATGAATTGCAATGGTCTCCTAAAAGTGAAGTGGAAAGATTAAAATAATGCTGTGTTAGATGATGTGATGGTCAATTGAGAATAATGTGTAGGGGTAGAGTTCAAAGCTAAACAGCCTGGAGCTTGGGCTTTGGTAATACAGAAGTGATGAATATGTGAGATGTTTCTGTGAGATAAAAAAATGTGTAGTGATCAGTGGATCTTCTAAAAGCATACGGTTGTTCTTCTGAAACACCTTTCAACTTGGGGCCAGCTTTTCCATTGTCTCAACCGAACTGTAAAATGAGTACTGATATAAAATTGTAGGATTCCTCTTGCCTGTTAAGTTTCAAATCTGTTTTCTTGCAACTCATTTACCTTAGTCATTCTTGAATAAGGCAGAGATTTTTCAAATGCAACATTTGAAAAAAACATAGGAAAGTTGCATTTGCTTTTGGAGCTGATTTTTGACAAAGCATGTTATAAACCTGGGTTTGTTTTGTTGAATTTTTTTCCAGAGCTTGGAGGATGAATCTAAGTGGGTTGAAGATCTTCTTAAGATGCACACTGCACGTGTGCGTGACATTGAACAGCTCACTAGCTTGGACTTCTTCCGAAAGACCAGTCGCAGCTACACAGAAATCCTCTCCCTAAAGACATACCTGCATACGTTTGAAAGTGAAATTTAGCTTTCTAACCTTACTCAGTGCATCCTTTTATCAACTGGTGTATATTTTTATATTGTTTTTATATTTATTAATTTGAAACCAGGACATTAAAAATATTAGTATTTTAATCCTGTATCAAATCTTAAATATTAAACCTTTGTGTCATTTGTTTTGTTTCTCTAATGTTTAATATAGGTATGTCTCTTGGTTGATTTAGTAGTGCTTGTAATACTGCAGTTTGAGTCCTTACTCTGAGCTTTTAAGTGGTGCTGCAAGGTTTGATGCGTGCATCAAGGAAATATTAATTTTCCATGCTCCTTTACAACACTTGTAGTCCTGTACTGTATATCAAAATACTGAACATGTAAGATTACACTCATTTACTGTTAACTGTGTGACAGACATATTTAAACACTATAGACAAATAGCATCTTAAATATAATAAACCACACATTCAGTTTTTTTAATGTGTTTTGACTTCCTTTCACAGGGATATTCAGAGGTGCTTGTGGGCAGATGAGTACTGACAGATTTCTTACTGGGCAGAGCCCTTCTCAAGAGCTTAGGTTTGCTGGTAAGAAGACTGTCAGGAGTCCAGGTGCCCCTCCCTGGTACTCAACAGTGAGACCATAAAATAGACACCCTCAGTAGTCATTGCTCGTAAGGCTTTGCTACAGTGGCAGAGCTGGGAGAGGAGGATGCTTGTTTTCACAAGCTACAAGGGGTACCCCATGCTTGGGGCCACTTGGTCCTGCTCTGGAGCTGTGGAGAGGATTCATGATAACATCTGCTGTCACTGATGTGACTGTGTCACATCCCTTCTCTACCACAGCTGCTCTAGGGTGATTCCTGGAAATACCTGCTCCATCATCCTTTGCTTTGACTGATGGAAATTGAAATAAGGCAGATGTTGAAGGAGATAATATTGCTAAACACACAACAGTGGGCTTTTAGCTGGGAGGAGAAAATCTGATTTTTGTCATCTTGTTCTAACAGCCAGAATCTTCCACGTATTCCCTAGTCTGAGTCTAAGGCTTAATGACAGCCCTCGTTCTCAAAGGAAGCCCCCTGGCCTCATTGCACATATGTAACTTCTGGTAAAGTCCACGCAGTGCACGTGATTTACAGCCATCACCTACCTGGTCAAGGGAGTCAAGTCTCTGTTTGCTGGTTCTGTGCAGTAACAGTCTCATAATCCTGACAAGCCCCTACAAGTGACACTGATGGCACAGTCCTAAGCCAATGGAAGAGACTGTGTTGCCTGCTGGTATCTAGGTAATGGCCTGATTTGGCTTTGACAGCTTTTATAGAAGGTATATGTTATGGAGCATTAGTGTTAGTGTAGTTAGATGATGTAAAAGATAAATTATTGTTTAGAATACCTATTGAAGCTGAGCCCACTAGTGGCACTATCGTAAAGCCTTCGTTTGGGGTTATAGCTTTCCCTGTCTCTAGAAAGGTGGTTTTCTGTTTTCTCTTTGGGGGTTACAGATAGTGGAGGAAAGCAGGAAGTGCTGGAAAGCATCTCAGCCATGTACACAGATGAGTAGCCAGGCCTCCTAAATAAAATTAACCTGGCACAATATCAGCAACTTGCATCCCTGTAGAACTCATCTAAGAGAAAGTAGTGAACTGGAATTAATTGTGTTAACACAGATGATAAAGTTCTTGTGAACAGTAGACAAAAATTCAGTATTCTAGGTTCCAAATTCTGTTTAATTTAGAAGAGTACAGAAATTGAATGCTTTAAAATATCCCCAAAATGTTAGGGTGGAAATTCTAATAACTGCACAAAGCTCTTGGAAACATCCTATTCTTGCAACTTAAAAATTGTCTCTTGTGGTTGTCTGGTAGCACAGAAATATTTTCCTGGAAGCTTTTAGCAGGGCTTCTTGCCATGATAAACTTTATGTTCTTACATATATTACAAAGGGTATTTCCTCTGGATTTAAAAGAGTTTTCAGTTAAGACCTAATTCCTTCAACACCAACTTCAGTGATGATTTAATGTAGTGGTTCATAAACCAAACTGAAGACCACCACTACTGTTCTGCTTTAACGTTAATCTGTTTCCCTGTTTGTTTGGGGTTTTGATTAAATCGAATTATGTAATTCTTCTATTTTTTTCTCAAAAATAAGATGACATTTATACCAAAGGAACGTTAAAGCTCTAAAAAATGTTCTTCCTGTGTTCAGAGAAGTTTGCTTTTGAAATACAGTTTCTGATAATTGCTGGGAGAGACAGTTTAGCTCTCAGTCGCACTATTAGTATGTAGGGAAATGTCATTTTTTTTAACTCAGTTGTTTATTGTGACAATAAATACTAGTAATTTACTTCTGTTCTGCCTACTTCTCTTCAGCCCCTGGTCCCATGCTCTTGCAGGGTATTGCTGTTTTATTTTACTGTGCTAGCAGAAATAGCTGTGCTGGGAAATGTTTGTGGTGACTTCTGCACATTGCATGGGGTACTTTTCCTGTTGAAAGATGCCTTATCAACACAAAAGCTCCAGTACACAAAAACTCCAGCTAAAGCCTTTTAAATCCCTCTAAGCAACATGAGCTCTGCAGGAACAACAGACATTTTAAAGGAAACTTGTAATTTGCCTTTGGCATTCCTCGGGGTGAATGTTAGCTTAGGGCAGAGGGAAGGAACCCCTCTGCTTTCCATTCCTGATAGAACATTTTGAAAATATGAAATACTACTTGTTTCTGTTACATGTTGCCTTTTCTTGATATTACTCTGGCTTCAGCAAGAGGTCCATTGAGGAGAACAAGCACTGAATTTTTATGTTGAACAAACACTGGTTTTGAGGGTTTGGGTAATTACTGTTTGCAGTTGGTGATATAAATTTGAGGCATGTTTAATGAGTCAGATTGATTGAGCAATTGCCACAACAACAGAAGCTGTATGTGTCCTGCACACCTAGCAAAGTCCTTTTGCTCTGGGAAAAATCCTCCAGAGGTAGTTATGCAACTAAAATAACCCTGCTACAGGAAACTGTTACTTTTTTAACCCCTTTTCCACAGTCATATATCCTGAATAGATAAGCACTGAAAGCAGGTCAAGTAACCTGACCAACTGCATGGCCATGATAGCAAAATTACAGCAAAAGTCACCATCTTATCCTGACTGGTCTGTGCCATTTTATGAAGGTTTGCCAGAATTCATAGGGATACAGTCGGAGTAAATTTAAATAACCATATTTAATTAGGCTAGTCTTGCTGTGTCCCTGGAGGCTGCTCCAAAGAAAACCTGCCATAGTCCCTATCTTCTCAGTACTTTAAATGCAAACGGTCAACTAATTGTGTGAAGATTTTAAGACTTTAACAAATGAAAACACACATGCACTTCTTGTAGGAGAGGCTAGAAAACAAAACCAGTGATAAAGAGAGAAGAGAGGAAGTTTCTTGCTTCAGGAGACAGAAGAAGTTGAACGGTTGAAAGTCCAGGAGATGCTGCTAGAAGGGAACTGGGGCTAGAGAAGGTTTATTTGGCAGGTTTACGAAGTCCCTGTTCCCCCTACATCCAGCTGCTTCTGATAGATCGGTCTCTCACGCACAACAGATGAAATAGCTCTCTAATCCCTGCACACAACTGGAAAGCAGAAAACTTCTCAGGAAAGCTGGAGAAGTTCCCCTCTGAAGGTGTTGCTAGCTGCAGGAGCAGAACTGGAACTTCGGAGATGTCCAGACTGGACAGTGAGTATAGAGTGCAGAACCCAACCTGAAAAAATAAATTTATAGCAACAGGAACTGATGTACCAGCAGTCCTTCCCTTCAGTCTCACATCCATATCAAATATCTTTAATTACCCTTACATGTGCATTACATTTCTGTGCAGCTCACCTCTGCTCCTCTCTGCAGGAGGCAGGAAATATTGCTTGCATAGCAATTGATAAAATTCCCCTTTTAATTTTTTTTTTTTTTAATTGGCAAGCCCCTACCTACAAAGGGGCAACTACAGTTGCTCTGCCCTGTGAGGGAGGGAGAAAACCAAGCTTTCCCAGAGCACGGGAGTGTGTGGGTGCTGCAGAGCTGCTATCTCCTCTCTGCTCCAGTATGGTGCTCTTCCAGTGAATTTGGCACTTATGTCAGTGGGGTTTATTCTGCTGGTTCGGCACAGAGGGATAAATGAAACTTCACTACCTCTGTGGGAGGCTGCTGTTACCACAAGCATGGATGAAACTGTGGCATGGAGAGGTTGAATAGTAGGTTTAAGGGCATAGCCAGTAAAGCTGCTCACAGCACTCCTGTATGGGTTTAATATGTGACATTTTGAAATAATTTCTGATAGTGCTACCACTGGTGGGAGGGCACAGGGTAAGTTTTGTAATGCAAAAGCCTTGGAATCACGTGACTGAAATAAAATATGAATACAGGGCAATAGAAGCAAAACTCAACCTCCTTTGGGGACAATCAATCATGCTGAATTGGTTTTCTATTAATCCTGTGCATCAAAATGCTTTTGGTAGGCCTAGTTCTTTACCAGAGTCCTGTATCTCCAGAGGGATGCTACAGCACCTGTCTGTCCATCCTGTCTGTGGTCCTAGTGCAACTCGGTTTTGTGACTAGTTTCAATTTCCATTGCTGCTGTCTCAGCTGTTGCACTTGACCTGAGATACATGGTATAGTCACGAAAATACAAGTTTACTCTGACCAGGATAGACCTGCCAGCAAATGATTAGTACAGCACTAGCCGTACATCTTCCAAGTCGTGGAATGTGTTTGAAATGTTTAAAGTTCAGCCCTTGTTCAAGATGGGAGAAAAAATGGCATTTTTAAACATTATGGAAAAATACCTAATCTCGTTTCTTTGCACTTGTTGTGTAAATACAAGATAAGAGCAGTATTCCCAAGGTTACTGCAAACAGCCTGTCACTACAGAGTACAAACTAACATTTACTAAAATGTATGTTGACATAAAAAACAGCATTGCTGCCATCAGCCATGGTAAAAAGCCCCACAGATTTCTTTGCCCTTACAAATCAAAACTTTGGGATGTAACTTATTCAGATCTGCCCTCATAGAGGAAAATCCCTATCCTGCTTATAGCATGCACAGTGTGTGCACAGTTGTTCTGGAACCTTACCTTACCCTCTTACCTTATCTGTTGTTTTCTAAATATGGCAGGAAAAGGCAGATGGAGGTCACCCAGGTTTCATCTGCAGATTTCACCATGGAGAGATCAGCAGGCAAAGAAGTTTGTAATTGTGGCTTAGTACAACTCTAACTGATTGACCCTACAACTGGAATTTACTAGAAAAGAGGTGGGATTATTTGACGTCATAAGCCCTCAACAGAAAAGGATTTAATCCTTTTCAGGGGATATTTTCCTGAGTTTTCTTCTTCTTGGCTGTGTGCAGCAAGTAGAAAATTATTTCATCTGTTCTACATGAAGGATTGTTCTATCAGGAGAGGCTGGATGCAGGGGGAACAGGGACTTCATAAACCTGCCAAAAAAATC